CCGGCTGTTGCGGTGCGCGATGTATGGTGAGGTGAAGGTATTGTCAGCACCTTATTGACAGCACCGTAGCACCACCACACCATAACACCACATCACCATAACACAACGTCACCACAACACCTCATAACCACACCATATAACCATAATACCACAACACCACAGCACCATAACACAACATCAACACAACATCCCCACAACAACACAACCACACCAAAACTACACCATGTAACCACAACACCACAGCACCATAACCCCCTCACCTCAACACCACATCGCCACAACCACAACCACACCATATAACCTCAACACCATAACACCACAACACAACACCACCACATCGCCACAACCACAACACCACAACCAAACCACATAAACACAACACCACACCACATCACCCTAACACCACATCACTACAACACCACATCACCATAACACAACATCCCCATAACCACACCACCACAACCACACCACAGCACCATAACCCCCTCACCTCAACACCACACCACCACAACACCACACCAGCTACGCGCCCCTTTCGTGCTTCGATTATCATTTCGATCAGTCATATTAAAACCGTAAACATAATTAGCACTATAATCACTCTCGCTACGCTAATGAAGCTACTGACTCTTACGAGGAAAAATGTTGGTTAATGTGGTGCTCAGCGAGACGTGTTTTTTTTTATCTTATTATCTCCTTTTATCCATTTTTGTTTTCTTATGCTAATTAACGATCGGCGAGAGAGAGAGAGAGAGAGAGAGAGAGACAGAAAGAGAGAGAGAGGGAGAGAGAGAGAGAGAGAGAGAGAGAAACAGAAGAAGAAGAAGAAGAAGAGAGATAGAATGAGAGAGACAGAAACAAAGACAAAGACAAAGACAGAGATAACCAAACAAACAGAATCACACCGAAAAAGAAAGAAAAAAAGACACACACACACACATACACACACACACACACACACACACACACACACACACACACACACACACACACACACACACACACACACACACACACACACACACACACTCACTCACTCTTACACACACACACACACACAAACACACAGACACACACACAGACACACACACACACACACACACAGAAACACACACAGACACACACACACACACACACACTCACTCACTCTTACACACACACACACACACACAGACACCCCTCCCTACACACACACACGTCCCTCTCACACGACCGACGGAGAGAGAGAGCGAGCGCCCCGACGGACCGACAGCCGACGGAGGGCGACCCAAAGAAAGCCAGTGATTGACACAAACAAATGACGCGCGACGAGAGACAGCCCGGAGACCAACGCGGACGGAATATCTTAAAGGAACTGGCTCTTTGGACCGCGATCGTCGGCGTCGGCGGCACCTTCGTCAGCACGGAAGGTTGCAATTCAGGTGGAAGGGGGGGAGGGGGAGGTGGAAGAAGTGGAAGAGAAGGTGGAGAGAAGGAAGGGGGGGGAAGAGGAGGTGGATGTGGAGGAAGGGGAGATGGAAGGTGGGAGAGAGGAAAAGGGAAGAAAATAGGACAGAGAGAGAGAGAGAGAGAGAGAGAGAGAGAGAGAGAGAGAGAGAGAGAGAGAGAAGAGAGAGAGAGAGAGAAATAAAGAGAGAGAGAGAGAGAATAAGAGAAAAAAAGAGGGAAAGAAAGATACAGAGAGAGAGGAAAAACAAAAACATTCAAATACAATTTTATCAAGAAATAAAGTTTAAGAATTCGAAAGAAAAAAAAATGGCAGAAGTGTCCATTTGTCGGCAGGAACACGAAAATCCAGAATTAATGAAACCGCACGTGGGGGGTCAAGTTAGAGGGGGGGGGGAGGAGAAGAAGGAGGAGGAGAGGAGGAGGGAAGGGGGGAGGTCGAGAGGGAGGAGGGGGAAGAGAGGGGGAAGGGGAGGGGAAGGAGGAGGAGGGGATGGGAAGAGGGGGAGGGGGAGGGGATGGGAAGAGGGGGAGGGGATGGGCGAGGGAGGGGGAGGAGAGGAGGGGGAGGAGGAGGTGAGGAAGGGGAGAGGGAGGTGGGGAGGGGGGGTGGGGTTGAAGGCTCTGTGATACATCTCAAACCTCGCTAATCATAATATTCATTAAGACAACACATGAGGGAGACATATGAGGTGCGACAAGACGAGACGGAAATATAAGATCTGCCCTTTTATTTTTTTCTTCTTCTTCTTCTTTTCTTTTTCTGTTTTTTTTTTTTTTTTTTTTTTTTTTTTTTTGCGAGACCAAAGGTTTTCTCAATTATTTTCTTTGTCTCTCTTTTACGGCAGGAGAGGACGAGGCGCGAATATAAACAAGGAGAGAGAAGAATTTAACTCTTTCTCTTTCTCCTTAGATCTCTCTCTTTCGCTTCTCTCTCTGTCTCTCTCTCTCTCTCTCTCTCTCTCTCTCTCTCTCTCTCTCTCTCTCTCTCTCTCTCTCTCTCTCTCTCTCTCTCTCTCTCTCTCTCCTCTCTCTCTCTCTCTCTCTCTGTCTC